TCAATCTTTTCCTCGTCGTTTACCTAAAAGTTCCGAACGAGTTTTATCAGTTAATTCACAATGTTGCAGTAATATTGCTAAGCCAACTGAATGTTTGTATAAATATAACTTCGTCTCAGTTGCACATGTACATGATTTGAGTGGAGAAACTAGAAAGCAGGGTGTGGTGTAGGTGTAAGTGTAAGGAGAGGATCTACTCGTGCACCCATATCCACACCCACACCCTTGATTAGCTCTATCGAGCGTTTAGACGATATTCAAAAGTTGATATTCTTTGTGTCACATTTTTTGATTCTTCACAGAAATGTATATTATTATAATTTTCAAGCTTGTCGTATATATACAGCGTTACTCATTTGTGTACCATAATTTACAAAAAGGAATGAGATTATACAATTTGAGTTGAGCTCGTCACAACTTAGCATCTGTATATATTCGAATAATACTTTGATTCTTTTAAAATAGAATTGATTTATCTCTTTAATATCTTTTTTTTCATTTGGTGCTCAATTGTCTTATTTTTTGGTGCTCATTTCACATGTAATAAATTTGGTGCCCATTTTGTCTTATTTTTCGGTGCTCTTTTCACACTTAACTAATTTGGTGCTCATTTGTCTTATTTTTTGGTGCTCTTTTCACATATAACTAATTAGGTGCTCAATTGTCTTTTTTTTTGGTGCTCAAAAGACATTTTTTCCATTAAACAATTCCATTCAATACAAGACAATAAAAAAATGTAGTATTAGTTTTTATTTTTTTTTCTTCTTTTTACGATCATATGGAGAGTAGTTAGTCCTCTTATGATCTTTTTTATGTATTTTCTTTAAATTTTAGCCGTTAATCAATGAAGAAAAAGATAACAGAGGGGTAAGTTATCTTGTTTTTTTTATCATTTGATATTTTTTTTTCTTTTCCTTTTAGAGATGTCATCATTCAACATCAACGGGTGAGTTTTTTTCTTTCTTTTTTTTTGAGATGAGACTCAGTTAAGTGAGTGTTAGAGGAGAGGGGGTACGTTGAGGTTAGGTTCATCTTATAAGAAGGACTTCCGGGTAGTCGCTAAAAGCCCGGTCAGGAACTGCTTTGGTGTCCATGGCAACACGATCGGGCCCCCAGACTCACTGACATATGACATTGGATGGGTGCATGTGAATGATGTGGATCTTCCCGCGCGTGCATGAGCATTACGCCCTTCAGGGCTTCACCAGGGTGATTCCTGGTCGCGCGTGCGTGTGCGCGAGAATAAAACAAATTTGAATGCATTTTTTCATTTAATCACGATTTATTTGAAAGAGAAAAAAAAAGAACGAAACAAAAAAAATTAATCATACGAATTGAGTTTATTCGATATTAAATTTTTGTACTCGATCATTTCCAAATTCGGTTACATAGAGATTACCATGTCGATCGAATGATAAACCTACGGGACCACTGAGTTGATTCGACTGTGCTCCATAACCGTTTCCCCCAATAATGACACTTCCTTGTGTGGCTCCTTTTGGCCAACGCATGATTCGATGATTCCCATAGTCAGTTACATAGACAGTACCCAATTGATCGACAACGACTCCTTCAGGTTTATTCAATTGTGTAAGACTTTGTTCTTGACCACCGGCTACGACAATGCCTTGTTTTGCACCTTTTCCCATTTCATGACACGATGATTTTCATATTCAGACACGTATACTGAATGATCTCGATCAATAAATACGTAGCGGGGATAATCGAGTTGATCGAGGCGATTTCCTTTTCCATTGCCACCTGCAACTACTGTTCATTTAGTATCACCAATTTTATATCGTCTCACTTCGTGTTTTCCTGCATCAACGACATAGAGAAAACCATTGTCGGCCATTGTCAAACCGATGAAAGAGATATTTGCAATAATTGTTTCTCCACGAGTACCATTTCGACGAGGCCATCGAACTACCCTTTTATTCTCCCAATCGCTGATGATGAGACTATCGCTCTCTTTGTCGATAATCACATCTCGTGGCCATTTTAATTGATGAGCTCCATTTTCACCAGCCACCACTTTTCCATTAGTTGCACTAAATTTCCATTCCACAATACGGGTATTTGCAGCATCAACGACATATATCGTTTGATCATCGTCGACGTACAAATCCTATGGGAGCCAGAGTTGATTGGTTTTACTGTCCCATCCATTTCCTCCAGCAACAGTGATACCATTCGTTGACCATGTTGTATTTGGATGAATATCAATAGAACTTGCACGCATTGGTACTGAAATGAAACAAAAGTATGAAGTAGAAATAAATATTTATTTCATGTTGCTAAGAAATTCACGAGATATTTGTAATTTAATTGGTACGATCAGAAGAAATATCTAATTTTTTGTAAACATATCAATTGAATGTAATTGTTCTACTTTTACAATAATTAAAATTTTTGTGTTGGTTTTTTGTTCAGAGATAAGACTTTCAAAGAAAAAAAGAGAATAAAATCTATCGTATCGTTTTAGTTTTAATTTTTGTACTATATTAAAACATTCCATTATCAATCTATATGAAAAAATAATTTCAGAAGATTTAAATTAGAAATCAATGAAAATGTAGCTTTATTTCTTGTGTTTCATTGATAAAAAAAATACGATTTATTAATACTCATAAAAGTGAAAATTTTATTTTCTACTTAGAGATGAAAATAAACATAGTCGAAATTATTGATAATAAACAAAAGATAGATATAAGTGTTCGAAATATAAACAACACAACTGAATTTACTGTTTTATCTATTAGTCTTTGTTTGACTCAGTGTGAATTTTCAGTCGAAAGAATAATGAAGAAATCTTTGCTTAATAAGTCCTTATATTTTATATAATAGTCAAAAATAGAATTCGAAATTCACACTGAAGTCAAACTTGTGAGTATGTCCTATACAGGGTGTAAAAAAACCATTACGCCCCCCCTTCCAGACCTAAAGACCAAATAGTACCCCCAACAACTTTATACCAAATGAAAGCCCGCAAAAAGTTACGCCTAGTGGCATAGTCAGAACAAATATAGTTTGTAATATTATAACGATTCTAGGCTCAATACATCATTTTCACTTAT